CAAATTGTGGAAGCATAAAACGCCCATTTCTTTTTAATTTTTTTTCCATTTTGCTGTATACTAATTTAAAAATAAAAATGCAAGTTTCAAATAATTCAAATGAGAGTATTAATTGGATTGAAGAATCTATTTCAAGAAAAACATTTAAATACTACGAATTCGAACAATTTAGCAATGTTAAAGAGATTGGTGCTGGTAGTTTTGGAACAGTCTATCGTGCAAATTGGAAAAATTCAGGGCAAGTTCTCGCGATAAAATCGTTTCATAACTATAGTAATGCCGAGCTAATTCGAGAGGTAATTGCAAAATTTAATATGTATTTCGTTCTATATAGTAAAACATCATTTGCAGATAAAGCTAAAATTTATATTTAGCTTGAACATCAACGGGATTGTTGATTTTCATTGCAATATCATCCGCTTTTATGGAATTACAATTTCAAATCAAGGTATAAATCCTTCAATATATGATGTTTTTAAATTTTATTTATTAAAAAAAAAATATTTAAAAAAAAAATATTAGGAAGTCAAGATTGTCAATTGAAAAAATATTGTTTAGTAATGGAATATGCTAATGACGGTGCACTTAAAAATTATTTGAAGGAAAATATTAAGCTTACTTGGGAGGATAAATACAAATTGTCATTGCAGTTGGCTAGTGCCGTATGTTGTTTACATGAAGAAGAAATTGTACATCGCGATTTGGTAATCTTACATAATAAATATTTTATTCTGAATATTGATTGTTGTTTAAAAATTAACGTTTAACTTTTATATATAGCATTCCGGCAACGTATTAATTCATCAAGGCGTTATTAAACTATCTGACTTTGGATCTTCGAAAAGTATAGAAACAGCAACTAATTCGTCAAAACTTTATGGAGTGTTGCCTTATATTGATCCAAAATTGTTTAATAGAAAAGATGTCGATACATCGCTAAAATATACAATAAATGAAAAGAGTGACGTTTATAGTGTTGGCGTGCTATTATGGGAGATATCAAGTGGGCATCCTCCTTTTGAAAATGAACCTTACAACATTAATTTAGCTTTAGAAATTTTAAAAGGACGTAGAGAAAAGCCCATTCTTGGTACACCTGAAGATTATGTAACAATTTATTCTGGTGAATATTTTATAAATTTGTTATTTATTTCAAATTAAAACATTAATTAAATCATTATATTTTATATTTTAGAATGCTGGGTTTATGAACCAGATAATCGTCCATCAATATTTCAAGTATTTGATAGATTAAATGCAATGATTCCAAAAACAAACTTGATTGGAAATGATCAAATGAATAATAATGAATCAAATAATCAATTATTAGAACAAAAACGATTAAATAATGTTTCTATTAGTTCTGATAACTCATCTGATGGAGAATTATCTCAAATGATTAAAAATTTTGATCATGTTGATTTATCAATTAATTCTGGAATTATTCATCAGTCTGATTGGATGAAAATAGATATATTAGAATCAAATCATGAATTATCAGAAGATGTTTCTGATATTATTGATCACATTAAAATATTAAAATCAAATGATGAAATATTAGCTTATGCTAGTATACTTCGTCTTTCACTAAGAGTTCGAACATTTGTTAAGTGGGAACATACATCTTGCAAAATTCTTCTTTCATTTTTGATCGAACGAAAACAAGATGTAAAACAATTATCACGTCGGGGGAGAAATGTAGCTAGACTAAGAGCAAAGCTTTGGATAGACGCATCAATTATGCTTTTTATTAATCATTATAAATATACTGATGAACAATGCGCAACAAAATGGAGAAATATGAAAGTTCGTTATATGGTAAACATTATTTATTATCTATTTAATTATTTATTTATCTATTTATTTATTTATTAAAGTAACATAAATTTTATTCAGAGTGATTTAAATTACATATTTAGGTCTGAAATGGAAGAAATATTTGGCTCTCAAAGAGTTCATACGTGTTAATAAATCCGAGGTACAACAGAATTAGTATATTTAACTTATTTCTTTAAAATGATGGTAAGTAACTTAACCATTATAATTTGACTCATGAGAGTTTGATTAAGATTAATTTCGGGTTTAGGTTGGGAATGAATTATTAATAATTTTATGTTTTAATTTTTATAAATAAAGTTAATATTGCAGATGATTAAAATTAACTTCATGATAAAGTTCATTTGTTTAAACCAATTATAAAATATTAATCAAATCCAAGAAATTTCCTGTTTGCTTCAAATTCCTACGTATATACGTTTCAAGCATAGCATATAAACACAAAGTATACCGAAATAAAACTTCATCACAATCTCAAATGATTAATTTTGTTGTGAAATTAACGAAAGAAAATTTCATTGGATGGTGAATTAGAGGTTGGGAACCGGTTTTCCATATATTTTATTTGTATCATATAATACAAGTTTAAGAAAAAATTTTTTTTTAAAAAAAAATCACCTGACAAATTTTTTCGAAGAACATAGTGTAAAAACGATATTTGAAAAATGAAATATGATAGTAATTGATTTAAAAATTCTATGCGTGGTATGGTGTAAATTAATTAATAAGGTTCCTAAATTGGATGTCTATTTGGCAGTTTTGGTTTTCATTGCTCACGTTTTCAATCAATTTTGGTCAAAATATAGACACAAGCAAATTTTACAGTAAGGTTTTCGAGATACTTAATTAATGGTTGATTACAATGTATACATGCAAAAAATTTTTCCAAGTGAAATATGTGATAACTATCACTATATGAGACAGTCGGGTAGTCGAGTGATTGGAAAAATACATATACAGTATATAAGTAAGAATTAAATAAGAATATAATTAAATTAATAGTTATTCAGCACTTACCGAATATATTTTGTTGTCCTAAATTTGGTTTACCGATTAGTGCATAATTTTTAAAAAAAATTATTATAAAGTTAATTTGTTGTATTTTATTCGGTGTCAATATATTCACTCTAATTGAAATTACAATTGGGTATAAAGGTTCTGTTTTGACTTTTATCAAAATGAGAAATTTTATTTTAAGACACTTTTTTCCAACAAAGATTTAACCGGCTAACAGAACTTGGTAAAAATTTTTAATGCTTGGTTTTAATGACCTTTCCAGTTTAAAGAGATGAAAGGCCAGTCTTTTTGGACCAGACTTGGACGATCCACAGATGATTCTTTTAAAAAATCTTTTTTTTATAAATAAAAAAATATACATTTCTTAAAAATTACAGTAAAAAAGATTAAAATATTTTGTTTATATAAATAAAAGAATTTAAATTTGCATTGTAACAGGAGGACAAATTATTTGATGTCTGAGCATCTGAGGCACAACATTATTTAGATCGTTTTGTTACGAAATATTAATATCCTTCATGTACTGTATGTAGATCTTGATTCATGCTTTTGCTTTTATCCGACGTTATAGAAGTTTAGATAAATTTTATAAAGATATCCGAGATCTTATTGCAAGTGTCATATCAATAGCAAATTTTAATGCTGTTGTGAAATAACTTTCCAATAGTTAATCTGAATCTGCACGTATGTGAAATAACGATTATTATAGAAACAAGAACTGACTGCAATTCACTTATTTGTTATCAATACTTGGAACCTAGATATAATATTGTAGTAGATTTAAAAGGATAAGTGTTTTAAATATGCAAAAACCGACTCCTGATCAATATAGTATTTTAACATTGGATACTTGTAAGTTGCTTTTACGGATTATCAAATTTTCATGTTTCAAATAAATTTTTGAACTTAAATTATTTATTTTTCGTTTTCTTTTTTTTTTGATTATCGAAAATTATTATATTCATTTTTTTTTATTAAAAAAAAAAAAAAAAAAGTAAGAAATGTATGGTAACGACACATGGTATTAAGGTCGTAAACTTATAATAATACCAAGCTTGATCTTGAGTTCTCAACGCTACAATTTCATCATTTAACTTACTTACTTATCAGCAATATTGGATAAGGTAAATCACCATGATGAATATATATATTATTTCCAAGTAAGTTTTTTTTGATTTTGTCCAATTTATAAACATTTATAGTTACCTACAGCGAGGTAAACGATATCACCAGATATATACAATGTAGTCATAATATTTTCTAATACATATTTTTTTACTAATATGTCAATTATTTGAAAAGGTTGCACCACTCGCACCATTCGAGAAGTAAAATTTGATCTTATTCTTTTTAATAACTTTTTATTTAAATAAAATTAATGGTCATTCATTTTTATTTAAAAAAAAAAAAAGGTTAAATTGACTTCCAATAGCGTCAAACTACCCGATTTATTTTATTTTATTTTATTTTTTAAAAAAAGTAATTATAAACAAACATTTGTAAAACTAACATTTGTAAATTACTCATTGTTTACAACATTTTCTTGGATTCTATTAAAAATAACATTGGCAGAATCCTCCCATGTAAGATCCAACATAATATTGTGAGCAGCACCTCCAATTATATCATATTCGACATCATAAGCCTCAGCAGTTTCTTTTATCACTTTCAAATCAAATATTATATCTTCTTTGGCACCAATCACAATTATAGGACATTCAATTTTCGTAGGGTCAACAAATGACTTATGAATTTGAAACAATGCAGTGATAGAACTTACCTTATCAAGCTTTGGATGAATATCTTTAGCCATAGAATCAGGAAATGCTTTAGAAAAGGTGGCTCTCTTCATTAATTCAGGAGTTTCAATTGTTGCATACGGATTTAATGTGATTAATGATTTAAGGACAGCTAGAATTGGCATCTTTGAAAATAATTTACGAATGTATTTGACGATTCCTCTTTTGTAGTTGTACGGTGATGTTGCTGCAAATAAAACGCCAGCAGCCACTTTCTGATGATTATTTTGAAGATAATATTGAAGAATTCCACCTCCAAATGAATGACTAGTAAGTAGTAAAGTGAAAAATAAATCAAACATCAGGTTTAAAATATAATTGATATATTTAATAAATGATAATTGATAATCACCCAACGAGAATGGGTTTATCTCCGGTCCTAGCAATTATTGCATCAGTTACGGCTGATACATCAATTGTAATATCATTTATCTTTTTTTGGTGTTTTGGTACTTTGTCCATATCCTCGAAAGCTAAGGTTAAAAAAAAAAAAAAAAAAAAATTACATTTTAATAAATTTAAGATACCAAACAACACTTTGTTTCGTTACCTCATAGCGTAACAATCATGTCCTTGATTCGAGAACCAGCGACAAAAATTATCCCAAGCCCAAGCCGAATTAGTTAATCCATGTATGAATAGAATTGGTGGATAATTCTATAATAAGATTAATCATTGCAATCTTTTTGTATTAGAAATTAAAACTTTTTAAACGCTTACCGAAATTATCTTAATGGTAGGATAATGTAAGACTTCAATTTTAATACTTTCACAGGAAAAAACGAAAAAGGTATCTTTATCTGTATAATTTTGTCTTGATGTCATTTAAAAAACGAATGTAAATATTGATAGAATTAGTTTTATCCGAAGCAGAAATAATCTTATTTTATAGCTTTTTTAGATCGACACCTTAGAAAAGAAGTCATTTACTATATTTGGATGATTTACATTGCCATAAACGAAATTTCCCGCTTTTTTTTTTAAACCAGTTATTAACAAGTTGTTGAGCAAGTTTTCGTTCGATACTGAAATAGTTAATGTTTCATATTCGGAATTTTTTTTTTAAAGGTTCAGATTTAAAACATATTGTTGAATAAGATATGCCTTTTTCTAGTATTTAATCATATAAATTGCCAATTTTTTCATTGTGAATAATTGACCACAAAAATCAACCATTTTATTCTATAATTGCATAGCGCTTAAAGATTAAAGAGAAACTTTAAAAGGCATTAATTAAATTATCTAAACTTTCAAATTTACGAGTTGAGTCACATAAGTTAATACTTGAACACCAGGATAAATTAACGATGACGCAATTCACATAACGAGACTAATTAAACTAGTCAATCAATCCATAACTTCAGCATTGTCTGTCAATCGATAATATTTCTTCACCAATCAACTTCATGTAAAGACGGACCTAGACGCGCAGTCAATTCCGCAATTGCGGTAAATCACGAAATGGATAATTAAAAAGATATAATTACTAATTCGGAAATTAATAAATTTAGAAATCACGAACTTTCAAAACTTTAAATTACATTAACCAAATAAAATAATATACATCAAAATGTATCTATCTTTTACTAACTTGGAATACCTCATAATCATCAACTTTAAAAGATTTTGGTATATCAATTTGAGAATAAGTATGTGGATAAGCACAACCAGAAATATTATTACAATAAATATCATGACCTCCACCAAACGTTGGACCGTACGATGGTCTACAACGTATAGCGAAACCTTGATGACCCGTAATGTATCCTACTTTTGCAGCTTGAAGGTTTGTACTATTTACGAATGAGAATATAAAACTATCCTCAGTTGATTTATAACCACATCCGTTCCAATCAATTGGGTTATATCCTCCTATGATTTGTTCCGTTCCGTTAATTTTTATTATAACGATAGTAGCCCCTTTGTTATCACATTGTTGATGAAATGCTGCAGGAGTTCTACTATCCCTACTGGCACGATAAAGTAAATTATAAACATAAGGTTTCTTGATAACATTGTTTTCTTTCTTATCGATCCAACCGGAAAAATATAGCAAAATACTGAGAATTAACTAGGATTGAGATTGAATCACGTTTTGACTGTCTAGGTGCTTGTTTATCAATATTAAATTTCTTGTCTGGTGCCAAAAAATATGCTAAGAGGTTAACCACCAAATCCTTCGATAGTAAGTCTTTATAAGGAAGCACTTTTTCAAGAAAATCTTCTGAAGATATATGATGAAATCTAATTAAAGGGATAAATCTATGAAGAGTTCTTTCCATAACTGTAATTTCTTCGTTACTACATTTTTTGACGTCTTTAGGAAAAGATGGATTCTGAGCAAAACCCCAATTAATCAAACTATCCCAAATCTCAATTTCATCTAAACGCAAATCATCCCGTTTTAAAATGAATTCTAATAAAGGTGCTTTTAAACTGAAAAATATATCAGAATTAAAAAGCTCTTGTGGTTCTTCACAAATTTTTTCCAGATAAAAATCCCGTAATTTGGTAAAAGACTCGTGTTGATAAATTGTTTCAAGAATTCCTATAGAATCTTTTTGTAAAAACTCATGATGGTCTTTGATTAAATAATCTTCAACTCTGAGAACTAAAGATTGGAGATTTAGTGCACCTGCTGCGTTTAAGAGCTTCAATAATTCAGTTTCTTCTAATTGTGTCATGTCGACCTTTCCGCAATAAATAAATCTGAAGTTCAAAGAGATATTAGTATCTTAGTTAATATTATTGTCATAGTTGTCTTATATACTATTTACTTATTACCTTAAGATAATTTTAAAAATATGTGGAGGAATGTTGGGCATTTTTAAAATAAATTTCCCTTCCTTCCTCTCAACATTTTCTTTAGTTAATTCATCATAAAAATATTGCGACCTAAAACATGTAATTCTTTAACGTTCTCATTTTCACCGGCATAAACAATGACATCATAACTTTTGTCATTTTCAAATAACCTTTCATAATCATTAGCAACTTCCTGGAAACATTCTGAAGTCATTTTTTTACAGAAATCAAATTGGAAATTGGAAGAACAAAAAAAAAAAAAAAAATTCATTGGCTAAATTTAGAACTGTAGAACATTGCATAACATAATTATAATAATGTAGTGTTACAGCGAATTTTTCATTAGGCAAATAGAATCGATCACACCACGAAATCTGGATAATGGGCTTACTTAACATATGGACAGGTATTAGCGACACGACAAAGTTTGAGAACAACGACGTACGTTAAGTTACAAATCGAGATTGATTTAATCCAATACAGCAATGTAAAGTCTTGCTATTGCAATATAGCGTAATAAAATCGAGCCTAAAACCTGAATTTAACATTGGAAAATACATGACGAAATTTATAATAATTGACTATATCGATTGAATCATTATATCAAAATTTTTAATAAAATAATATATATTAATTATTTGTTTACAAAATTGAAATATTTTTAATCTTCGTCAATATTTTTTGTATATCAAATACTTAAGAATTTTTTGACTAAAATTAAAATCTTTACATCAAAAACTAAAATGCAATCAAATCTCAATTTTTTGACGTCCTTAATTATAGAACAATGGATCATAGCACTTTGTAAACAGATATTGTTAGCGTGTTTGATTGGTTTATATTTGATAGTTCCTCCATAATTCATGTTCCTTCAGAACTATTAGAATGCTTTATTATATTATCTAACTTTTTGCAAATATTAATTGGCAGACCGAATTTTAACCCTATTACGATTATTAAGCTCAATAGACAGTTGCAATGAGCACATTCTTTTAGTAAGTGCCTTTAATGAATATAACATTTTTTAACATTTTATATTTTAAAAAAATCTTTTTATTTTATTTTTTTGCGGTTGCTCGTTTCAGAAGTTATTTAATAAATCTTTTAAATATATAGATTAGAATTCTTTCCGAGTGTTCCGTACGCGAACTCGCTGCTTGGAAATATAACTGTTATCGGTCGGTTTATCCTTTAGGCTTGTTTCTTTTAATAAGTTATTATGGGTTTTTATTTATTTTTCGAATCTTTCTGATAAAAATTATATTTCTTGCTTACATAATATTTGTAATATTTGTATTATCCCTAACTCAATTCTTTACGGATGGTTTTTTTTTTTAATTTTGATATTATATTATCCTATCTCGGATATTTTATTTCAAACTATATTATCGCTAAATCAGATGGTTTCCTTGAGTTTGAAAGCGAAATATTTAAATTCCTTCTGTTTTGAATTAAATAATTTGATATTTTTCTGACTATTTCCAGTCTTAAGGCGAATGATTTTGGTTACTACAAATTGATATTAATTTTTGGTATTGACATCATCGTCCGTATTAATCTAATAGCGAACAAGTACAAAATCTCTTTAGTTATTAGCAGTAGAATGCTACAGATAAAAAAGTTTCTATTTAAAAAGAAATTTCCTGATCAACATGTCCTAACAATGTGACGTATGAATAATAAAGGTGGGTTCAAAATAATATTCATTAAATGCACCATCAAATCTAATAACTTTTTTTCCTTGATCAATTTTTCGAACTAGACATTATGTATCCTCATTGATATTCAGAAGAAGCTTGTAGTTTTTGATTGTGTTAGAATCGCGATGACTTACTAGTCTCAAATCGATTCTCTCATTGTGTGATAATTTTTATCTGCTGGTGGTGAAATAAATGCCTTTGATTTCTTCCGCTTTTTATTAATGTCAAGAGTGTCATACTAACTTCATCTGCTCTAAATATAAAATCTTGGCAGTTCTAACTTATAAAACACTAGCGCATTCAGGAAGCCATCATACAAGATTCGAAAGTGGGATTACCGTCTAGAATTTCTATATTAGACACTAATGAACAACCTGAGCTAAAGACTACCAATTTAGTATAATGGTGAAGAATATCTCCAAAAGAAATGTTTGCAAGGTAACTGGACTGTTAGATTGAAAGTTCAATTCCATTCCTTGTGCTGGAAAGGTTCAAGTTGTGCTATTAAAGCTCTTATGTCCAATATGTTGTTTCTGATAAAAGCTTACAATAAAGGGGAAAGGTGGGATTGTGCTTTCAAATTTTGACAATGTTGTAATTCTGATCTTTTTCTATTGTTCATATATTACGGATTATATATCTTTTTGTCTAATTTCTGCGCGCAGAAAACTTTGATGATCACTGTTCGTGAGTTCATTTACACATTCTCACGAAAGTGGTTGCGATTATACTAACGTTTTTTGAAAAAAAACGCGATAAAGGATTTTCTGGATTGGTCTGGTTATTTTATTCTATTGAAGATGGTAGCAAGTTGACAGGACAAACCTTTGTTTAGCTGTATAGTGCCATCAAGATGCGAAAATTTTTCGATCTTTTCCCCTTCGATATCTAATTCATTTTTAATCTTCTCCTTTCGAGAAAAAGCGCAAACTTGATCAGATTGATTTTGTTGAAGAAAGTTAACTATACTAGAGTATTCTCATTTGTAAAATAAAGATACATTTGCAATGCTGGTTTGAACATATAAATTATCACTTCGGTCTAATGACAAGAAATTGACTTTGATTCAATAAAAGAAAAAGGTCGTCGTAATGTTAATAGGGAATCATCTATAAAAAAAAAATCCCGATGACATTTGTATTCCAATTTTTCAAAATATTGGTATTCCAATCTCAATTACCGTATGTGAGGAATACATAAATAGATTTTTTTGTATCATAATCTTTAAAATCATTTGTAGAATTAATTTTAAATTTTTTAATCACTTGTAGTTATAATTTATGCATGAATTAATCGTAAGATCACGGATTATCCAACACA